TTAGCAAAGTCCCTTTAAGGCAAGACATTTCACCCGCAAGCCATCTCTGAAACACCTGTCAGGCAGTATGCTTGGGCACTCTTTAGTTTAATTTCTAAGCATTTCTAAGCCCCTCACCTGGAGAATCGTCAGTTTATATTGATCAATGATTGACTCCTTTACTAAAAGGCAGGGTTTCAGTCTTTGCTTTAAGCGATTTTAGTTGATGGTGACAGAAATTTGGTCAAAATATTTCTGTACCGGCTGTGCTGATCTAACAGTGCGTTCACACCGAAGGTGGTGAGAGTGTCAAAGGTTGCTCTGGCCGCCCTGGCGACAACACCGTCTCCCTTCAGCTACGGCAGAGAGAGCGTCAAAATTCGCTACATGGATCTCGTATTTAAAGGGGCTGTTGTAGCATATCAGTTACATTCCCGCATCAAACATGCTTTCCAGCATAAAAATGTTCACTTTTTATCAAATTTATTTAAAAATGGAAGATCAAGTTGCATGTGGTGTGGCTTTGCTCCACTTAATTATCCAATGTGTCCATATGTCTGAAATATCCTGAAGCAGAAATACTGTTTTGTACTGTCGCATGAGATTCCCACTTTTTCAAATAAAAAAAATAGATTTATAACATTAATGCACATTAGTAACTCACCAGTAACTTTTTTAAAGTAAGTTCCTGTAAGAAAACATTGCAAATAAATGGAAATCCGGCTACTGCACTAATCAAACCCTTGGGAACACCAGTGGTTGGAACCAAAGTTCACAGTGACTGTGTTCTCTGGACTGCTCTCAAGCGGTGGACTTCTTCATTCTGATTGCTTGCCATCAAACTGCATCATAGCTCATTACCATAAAGTTGACTTGATTTCAACTGTCCTCGATGCCTACACTGGCGAAGATGTACTACGCTGCTCCTTGCCGCTTATCGCCGCCGGCTTTCATTGAAAATGAATGACTTCCGGCTACTTTGACGCTCTTGCCGCATTCGGTGTGAATGTACCGTAATAGCATTTCTATGCACAAACATCTCTAGGTTTTACAGAGAATGATCTAAAATAGAAAATATATGAAAGACTGGCAATTTAATGAATGACTGGCAGTTTTATGGATGAAACTGCTTTGTTGATGCCAGAGGCTTGAGGCTTTCAGAGTCACCACATTTCAACAGAGCACATTAGGGATGTGCAGGAATGGGAGATTCACTTCATAGATACGCAGCTGACAAATCTGCACAAATCTCCTGTTAGACTACCCGCATCATTCTTGTGTCAAGGCAGAAATTGCAGCACGTGCGGAGTTCAAATCTTGTGTAAACATCACATGCTTCCCTGATAAGGGGTTAAAAGCACTGGTAAGTGTAGAGCATGCTCATGTAGAGGGTTAATAAACTGTGACCCAGATTGCTGGCCTCATTCCAGCGGGCACCGACCCACAGCCACACCCCCTGAACAGAGAACAGGAGCTCTGCTAGTGTCAGCAGCATCTAGATCTCGCTCTCAAATGCACACACAGAGATAATAAAAGCGGAAGAGACAAGCCTTTATCAAACTCAAAGAAACTGGACAGACCTGTACTGCCTCTGACCCATAAATAAAAGGTCAACGGAAGCTATTAAAGCCCATGACACAGCACCAAGACTGCACAAGCAAAATTAATCTCACTGTACACTGTAATGGCATAAAGTCTGAGTTTTTATTTATGGTGGTGAAAAATGCCATGGGACTGGTTGTAACTCAACCCTAAAAACAATCCCGCATAGTGCAGCATTAAAAAGAGCATTAGCCAGCACAAGAGTGCAAGTCAGATGCAGATACCACCACTGCTCGCCTCAGGCGCTTTCAATTCTGTTCACTGAGTCATGAACGCCGCAGGCAGGGGGGACAAATGTGCTTCACAAATTCATTCCAGCATCAAATCACCTGATTGGCAGGAATTTGTCAAAACAGCATCCACCACGAGCAGCATGTCAAAACTCATTATCACGCCAGCGGGACAGGAAAATGTTCGAAAGTAAAAGCTCAAGAACAGGTTCAGCTCTGTTTGTCAAATTACCTTGAGGGCTGCAGATCTAAAGCAAACTCAGAGATTTATATACTTGCCATGTGTCCTTTTTAAGCTATACTGGTTATAATAATTCTTCAGTCCTCAAGGAAATAATAAAATTACTTACAAAAGACTTAAACCAGATGTGTGATTATTCAAGAAAACATCTATTAACATATTGAAATCTTGTGTTATTGAGTATGCTAATTTGGAGTTAAGAAACAGCTTTGAATCTGGATTTAGTCTGAACAATGTGGACAAATGTTTAGGCTTTCTGGCACATGGGATAAATCAGTGGCGTAGCGCAAAATGCGGAGGCCCCCCTACAGGGATCACTGACGGGGCCCCCTGATGAAGGGGGGGCGGGGGGGTGTTTGGTGAGAGACAACACGGCGAAGCGAGGGAGGCGGGGTGGAGCGACAACGCGGGGAAGCCTTCACAAACTGAGGAGCGATCACAAACCGAAAGCGGCGAGAGCGTCAAAGTAGCCAGAAGTCATTCATTTTTCAATGAGAACCGGCGGCGAGAAACAGCGGCGCGTCTTCTCTGGTGTGAGCGTCGAGGAGGGTTGAAATCAAGTCAACTTTATGGTATGAGCTATGACGCGGTTCGGCGGCAAGCAATCAGAATGAAGAAGTCCACCGCTTGAGAGGTGTTCAAAGAACACAGACCTGTTCCGACAACAGTTGTTTCCAAGAGTTTGATTATTGTGGTTGCCAGATTTACAATTATTGAAAGTTGTGACGACGCGGGGCCCCCTAATCCCCCCCACCCCCCACCCCACGGTGCGTGCCCTGCGGGTCCGTCCGCTACGCCACTGGGATAAATACCTGTCAACCCTCCTATTTTTGACAGGATTCTACCTTTTTTTAACATTCTATCCTGCTATCATCTCGTTTAAATATTTTCCCATATTTCTCCCAAATTTGTAATCTTTTTATGAAAAGTGAAAGTAGCACCAAAGAGCCGATCTTAAAGATGATACAGCCTAATCTGCCTAAAGAGCAACTGACTCCCATGCGGAAGGTCGCCGGTTCGATCCCAGCCCAGAACGGGTTGGGTGGTGTAGGACTGACGGGGTTACATTGGTGCCGTGACCCGGATGGGAGTGAGGTTTAGAGGGGTGAGTGTAACGGAGGCCAGCTAGTGTGTGCTGTGCAGGTAAACATCACTCCTCTGACCTCTAAAGGTGCTCTAGCGACAGATGCTAGAAGCCATGGTCTTTAGCCTCCTTGGTAGAGCATCGACTCCCATGCGGAAGGTTGCTGGTTCGATATCAGCTCGGAGCGGGTTGGGTGGCGTAGGACCGGCGGGGTTACATATGCTTATGATTTCCGAAAGTATTACAGCACTTTGTAAACATTTATTATAAGTATTTGTTGAGTCTTTCCATACAGTTTGATAGAGCACTTGGACCCAGAATCTGCTTTGGTTGATGTCACACTTAACAAGTGGATTGCAAGAGTTGTTAAAGAGAATAATGCTTTTGCTTTATTTAGGCTTGAAACCACTTTAGAATGACTATAAAAATGACCACATTCACTATACAACCTCTGAATCAGTCAATTCATGTAACAGTGCTGACTGACAGACGCGCTCCATATAAAGACACTGTTCTCAAATTGGCTTCCGTACACGCCATTTGAAGATGAGCGAAAGTGGATAGTTTGAGATTTGTGTGTGTTTTTGAACACACAAATACACTTGATACTATGTAAACATGTCCACCCTGACGTGTTTTATTTTAAGCACGAAAAATGTTGTCTTAAATGAACACAAACAGAACGGAAGTAATCGAATGCTTTTATTATAAATCTGTGCACAGCTCTCCATACAATTAGGCTAATTAAGTAATGACATTAGGCTAATTAAGTAATGAAAAAAACAAATGCTTAATAACGGCCCGGCACAGCCCGAAGACAGTGGCAGGAAATATCGGCCCAAGTCTGGGCTCTGGGCTCAGGCAGTGAATCTAATAGAGCTTATCCACTTTTGAAGGCTTTCATTCGATTGGACTGCTAGCATCGTGTGAATGTTCATGTGGTCAAAAGATCACCTACTCTGCATCCACTGACCTGATGTGAATATTATGATACATGTTTGAAAACGTATCAAAAACAGATATTTATACTTCACTAGCACTTAATACTTGATGAAATCTGAACCCAAATGGTCACATGTTTTGGTTTATGAGACACACGTAACTCTAGTTTAAACAAGTACCTAAACATTTTTATCGGTAACAAATAGTGCAGTTACGAAACTATCTAGTGTATCGAGAGTTCATGCAAACATGAAAGGCAATGCTCTTGCAAGAAAACTGAAGCATACTTGTGAAAAAATGTTCAGTGCTGGGGTTTTTTCAGGACCAGAATTAAGACCCACTGCAGTCGTATTACAAAATAATTACAAAATAATAAGCACGAACAACTACAAGCCCTAAAAGCCTCGAACTGACATGAACACGCAGGCTAGCATGAATCCAAAACCCACTCTGAGATTTCAAAGAAATAACCGGCTGATTAAGCGCACGTCAAACATTGGCAACAAGCAGCAGGAGCTCAGTCAAGGTCTGCCAACACTTTCTCTCTGTGCACGGCACGTATCAAACTTACATTCCAAACAAACAGCTACTATTAAGCTCTGGGTAATATTAAACGTATCATTAATAATTTAAGCCAGCTAAGAAAACAAAAATGCCAAACTAAAACCAGGAACTATGATCAAAACGGAAGATTCAAGTAATTATTTATTATTAAATTAATATAATGTAACCGATGAATGAATTCGGAATGGAAGAATGATAGTCGTGTGAATCAAATCTATTTTCAGCCTTACTGGAATGTGAGTTCAAGCTAAAGCCACCGCTCAAAGTGACCCGCTAGCCCTGTGGTGTGATGCTCGAGCCGTTCCCAGAACCGCTATCAGGCAATGCTGTGATAATGCAAGACAGACAGTTTATTTACCAGATTGGATGCAGAGGCCTCAGCGAAGGACAGTCCTCTGGGGATGATGAGGATATGATCCTGCTCCTTACTGACACGAACCTACACGGTAAAAAACAAACACAGACAAGCAGCTGCATTTTGCTTCTCATGACCAGGTTCACTCAGGGTTTCTTATAAGATTAGTTCATCCTAATTTTAATATTCTGTTACTATCTCATCTTCCATAGACAAACATGCTCTGTAGTCCAGAAAGGGACAACATTAGCTATGTTTCCATCCACCTATTTTTATTCGCATTTTGGATATGTGCACAAAAAAACATTGATTGAAACGTCAAGATGTGCATCAATATTTAAAATGCACATAAAAAAACATACACATAACAGAGTAGAATAAACTTCTTATTCGATAAGAATTAATGAACTACGATGGAAACACTAATACCGAACAAATTCCAGTATGCGAAAAAAAGTCATGTGATTTTGTTAGAAGAGATCATGTGATAATAAAAATGTGTGAATGGTCAAAGCACACAAGCTAACCACTTTGTAGAACATCTGAAATGTAGTTTCGTTCATTCTAAAATGTCTTAACCATTTCAGTATTTGTGTTATTATATTATTAATTACTTCCAGATTTGTTAAGAGCGTCTGTGATTTGGTCTCACGCTTTCAAATACCACCACGCATTCATTGCGTGTCTTCTGAGGAGCAAGTCATTTATTAAATAAAGAAAAGATTCCTGCAGCTTCTTCTACTACAAAAAAACTACGTTTTTACTTTTGATATTTGGTGCCAGTAAAAAAGAAAGTGACGATTTTGTTCTCATTGACTGAACCAGTGGTTTATCTGCATGTCTTTTTTTGCGATATTCCAGGTTTGTGCATAAATAATTTGCATATTTGGATGGAAACATAGCTATTGTCAAAACATTCAATGCGAAATTTAATGAAGCTCCAAGAACACTTTTGTGCACTAAAAAGCATAAGAGTACATTTTATTTTAAATAACATATATTTTAAATTTATTTGATATATGAATACCTTTTTGTTACCAAATTCAGAAATCTAAAATTTAAGACCAATCATACATATAAAGTGTGAAAAACCTCAAAACATTATTATTTTTATTATGACTAAAACAATAATATTAATAACAATAATAATAATAACAATAACTGTTATCTCATTCCCCTAAACTGCATTAACAACACTAAGAAAACATAATTTTCCAACGTAAATAACTTATGCCTATTATTATGTAGTTGAAGCAGCTATTTTAGAGTGAAATCCCAGCGAACTCAAGCTAAATCCCAGCAAACGTTAATTACGAAAACCAAATTTCAGCAGGTTTGCATTTTATTGGGTTCCAAAGACTATAAATGGACTTTGATTCCGCCTATGTTGTTCTGCGTAATGAAAGGATTTAAGCATAGCATAGCTTGGTATCGCTGACGTGCATGGGCAGCACTGAGAGCCACAAGTCTAATGGAGGGATTGTTTATAAGTGACGAGTCCTGTGAAGGAGCTCCAGACAAAAACTTTTGTTTTGTGTTTACTTGGTGTTTAAAGTTGTTGCACGTCCGCTGGTTCCCGCCTCTGAATGAGCATGTTTTAGCTAATTTGTAGTGTTCAGAAAAAAACAAAACACCAGCAAAGAAACAGATGAACATTAAAAAACTACTGCCAGCTAGCTCTTTAGAAGAGTTATTGCAGAGCAACAAAAACAGCATGCAGAAGTATAAATGCACAGCTACACGGAAGGCTTGTGCCGTGGGTCACGTCGATCACTCAACACAAAAATATAAATCAGCCTTTAGTAAACATGCACCCTGAAGACGTTTAGAGGAAGAGAATATACAATAGAGCTGCACAATTAATCGTTAAAAGATCGTGATCTCGATTCGACCCCCTAGACGATCTTAATCCAGCATTTCTACGATTCTGCTAATCATATTTTCAAGTTCAGGAGAGAAGAAAAGGCGGCTGCACAAGTTTTTTCATTTCACACACGTTGCTCAGTGATATTGACACCTCCAAATGATGTTGAATGAGTCACACACTGTATTTATAAGGTATAATTCGCCTAAAAATGTAATTTTTGTCTTCATATAATGATGTTTTGCGGCCAGGAAATCACACGTGACGTGAGCTGCTGACCGCGAGCTGTTATCACAGAGAGGGCGCGGCGCGCGAGCGCTTCTACTTTTAGTGAACAGAACCTGCATATGTTGCGAGTAACAGGTAATACAGTTGTAAATAATATTCAGTTTGTGGCACAGAGTGATCGTTTGGGAGCCGCGCACGAAGTATGAACAAGCACTTAGAAGTCAAAATGAAACCGAAAGTGTGCACTTCATTTAAATGATCATATCGCATTTTAGAGTTATGATTATGACAAGCATTTGATATGTTTTTTCTTTCATACCGAACCCACAGTTGTGCATCAAAATACATGTTTACAATGTCAGTATAACTACTCTAGTCTATATATATATATTGTTGAATATAACCTGATAATGGAAAATGTCTGATTTTACCAGTGAATAAAATTGTCTAATATGACAGATTGCAAGCATATATCTCAAACATAATAATTCAACATCAGAATTAGAATATAGAAGAAGTACAGAAGTAGAATATAATTATTTATAGAAACCAGTAGACCTATACATAATATTATTATCGATGTTGTGCCATGTTTGTTTTTACCATACGTTTATTTTACATCCACAGAATCGTGAGAAAACCGTGATCTTTATTTTAAGCAAAAAAATCGCGATTCTCATTTTAGCCAGAATCGTGCAGCTCTAATATACAAGTAAACAGAGTTGCATTTACTGTTATTTTGACACACTAAAGTGTTTTTGGAGCTTCGTATGATTACAGTTTATCCACGGATGTAACATTAAATGTTTTTGGTTCCTTTTCTGGACTTAAAACTTCTCAGTAACATTTCTATACATGGAGAATGAGAAAACTCGGATTTCCTCTAAAATATTCAAATTTGTGTTACAATGATGAATAAAAGGCTCTGGAATTGGAATGACATGACGGTGAGTCATTTATAACAGCGTTTTTCAAATTTTAGTGTAACCTGACCCTTTAATCCATTACAAAAGGCATCAAGATATTCAAAGTTTTGAATATTATGATTATTTAGCACATCTGATGCATTTCATCATCATAAGCATAACTATAAAGACATTTTAAAGACAAAGCCTGCCTTTCTACATAACAGGCATTTATAAGTAGCAGTGTCCAATTTAATAATAATAATATAATTTGATTTAACTGAGGTTCAAATTATTGGAAAAGTCTAAAGACTTGAAGCTATGAATTACAAGGAGTGTTGGATTAGTGTAACTAGAATGCTCATCACCCACAGGAATGAATTGCGAAATTCTGGATTACACAATGCACACCATTCAATGTCATTTCCTTGTCCTAAAAACAAACATCAAAAACCAAGCTACAACATTTGATCAGTTGTGCCAATATTAAACAGAAGCTGTGCCTTACTGTAATGTAACAACTCGCGAAGTGGGCCCAACTGAACAGGTCCACTATTCTGTAGAGGCTGGCCAATTTGCAGCGGGTCTGTTTTTCCCCCTTTACCATAGTACTGGACTCCACACTGAACATGTCGTTTATTGGGGTCACCATTCCCAAACCTGAGAAAACATTGACAAAATAGGGATCAGATCATGTATTTAATTTATTAAATCAATCAATATCTTTCAAGTCAACCAAGCACACAAATGAATGAAATGTTGGAACTGCTCTTATGATAACATGAATGACAAATGAGTGTGTAAACAGTGGTACTTCATGCTGTTAAAAAAGCCAGCAGTGTGTCCTGATTGAATGATAATGCCTCAGGAGTGTCCATGAAACATCGATATGCTTAAATCTAATAAGGATGTTTTAGACTGGCGCAGTTCATACAGCTTAAAACACTCCTGTAATCAATTTACCATCGCTTATTTAGAAGCTTCAGGGATCGTGGATAAAGCAAAATAAGGAAATCCAATAAGAGTTTTAAAAGTAAATGAAACTCAATTTAGCTGCACAAAAGGTCCAACTCCAGTAAACACAGTCTAGAATAATCAGACTCTTTTCTTATTTTAAGCAGTGCATGTTGCAGAACAGTTTTACTTGGCTGAACGTTCCAGAAGCCAACTCCAGCTGACTAACTCTAACACCTCCAGTTATGGCCTGTTCCCACTTAGCAGTATGTTTTGGTACAGTACAGTGGGTTATGCATTTATTTTTGTTTACATTGTCAAAATTATGAAAACAGTGAACTGTACAGTACCATATTTTAGCACTCTTTTCTTATGGTGCGTTTACAACAGATGCAGATGAAGCATCAAGCACAAGTGATTTATATACTAAGTCAATAGCTGCGTCCCAAATGGCACACTATACACTATGCACTCATGCACTATGTACTTATGCACTTACACACTCAACAGGATAGTATATGTATGTAGTGCTGTCCCAAATGGCACACTAATGTTTTTTTACTAAGCGGAAATTCAAACCGTTTCCCTGATGACGTTTGACTGTTGCCAAATCAGTGAAATAAACGACTGAATTATCAAGTAATACCTGCCGTGAGTATTGCCGCATTTACCATCCGGAGGCGCTATAATCACTCTCGTAGGAGAATTTTGCTTTCACTATCCAAAATAAATAAAGTTATTCAACATGTGCGTCCGATCGCTCCGCCCCTTCCGCTACGTAAGCAAACCTGCGGTCGTTGAGTGCGTGAAGTGTCCATCATTACACACTTCATTTTAGCGGCTGAATGAGTGCATCATCCGGGTAATTAAAGTGCACTTATTATTTTGAGAGTTTTCAATGTGAACACACTACTTACACTATTTATACTACAAAATGGCGTAAAATAGTGCATAAGTATGCGATTTGGGACGCAGCTACTGCATAGACACAATTAGACAGCCTGCGGCGTTATTCGAACAAATTAATGAATAGCGCGACCTATTCACGCAAGTCACATCTGGTGTGAACCAAGGTTATAATAGTTTTGGATTTTTCATTAGTTTTAGTTTCTATTTCGTTTTGACTTATTGTTTTAAAATACTGTTAATTTTGATTAGTTTTAAGGCAGATTTACTAGTTTTTATTACTTTCTATATTTTGAAATGATTGTATAATAAAAACTCATTCATATATTTTCTGAAACATGTATTCAGAGAACACAAGAACACTATCATCTACCACAACCATCTATAAATTCTCAAATTCAAATACAACAGCCCACAGCCTTACAGTAAAGTTTTGCAACCCAACTGAATCATGATTCACTTATTTAAATTCTATTCTGATTGTCTGTTATGAAATATACTTACACTTTTCACCAGATCCTCTCATTTAACCACTTAGTTCACCCACGTGTACATGTTACACAGCAGCCTGTACTGTTTGTGTTTGGTTCACTGAATCACGCATGCGCAGTATTATCAGTTCACCGCTACTCAATGTAACGTTTCTGTTCAAACATCTGAATGAGAGTATATATTGGATTATTTAGAGTCAGAGGAGGGTATTAGGCTTGTTAAAAAGTAAGTAGTGTGTGGATAAGTGCTTACTGGAGACGCGAATCGTTTCAAATGGTTGAGTTCGATAAGGTGAACTAGTTCAACCGGTTCACTTAGAAGATCCAGTCAAAAAGATTCATTCGCGATCGTGATACAGAAATAAAACCCATTTTTGGGCACAAATGTGTTAAAATAATAGTTTTAAGTGTCTGTATTTAATGCCGTCACCGTGCTGTTGTCATGTTCACTCGTTGTTTTTGTCGCGGGAGCAACAGTGAGGGTGACTGGAGGAGGACCGGCTCGATCTGGCCAATGGTAGCAGTACTACAGTCTCTGAGGTGCCATTTGGGTCAAACACCTGCAGCGCAAATTAGATTTACTTCTAAAAGGCTTACAGTAAGATTAGGTCTTGAATACATTTACAAAGATGAAAGTGAAGGAGGTTTTTTCTATAATTTTAGTTAGTTTCAGTTAGTTTTGTATGTACACAATACAGTTTCAGCTAATTCTAGTTTTTTAAAAAACTTTTTATTTTTATTTCAGTTAATAACAATTATTTTACATTTTAGTTTTCGTTTTTTTGTTTGTTTTCGTTAACTATAATAACCTTGGTGTGAACACACTTTTAGAATTCCTAGCACAAAAGCAGAGGGCCGATTGTTTTATAGAATTGTCAACAAAAAAAGGTAACAGGCAGCAGCATTTTTAACACATCACCAATTACAATACGATAATGTTTCATCTAAAAATGTGGAAAGCACATTGCGCATCACTTCATCTGTCTATTTGCATGAAATAATGTACTTTGCAAAAGACACGATATGTGAACGATCTGTACAGCTAAAGACTATATAAAACACAAGACGTGTCACTCATATAGTTTTGAAAGTGTAGCGGTGAATATAGTAAATGAATATGGAGCTAGATTTGCTTCTTTATTATTCAATCAAAAATTTTTAGTTTTAAAGAAACATTAAGTATGTAGTAATTAAAAAATTAAAGATTTCAAATAAAAAACACGTTTAATTTAAAAACGTATGTCAATGATAATAAAATATTTTAGATTGCAAAAAAATAACCAATTGTCCTATTATGCAGTTAACACAATTTTCATTGCACACTCATTAATTTTGCTCTCTTTTCTGCTGTCTTTAATTGCACATCTAGAATCTTTGTTTGCAGGTTGAAATGTTTTGCTTGTGAGTTGAAAAGTTTTGAACCCATGAATGCTGGGGTTAATTTTGTGTCTTTATTATTCAAACAAACATATGAAGTTTGGACCAAAACTAGGTACAATGCAATTAAAAAATAAAAGAATTCAAATAATAAAAAAACATTTATTTAAAAAAATTCACACTGCAAAAAATAAACTATTGCCATTTTATGCAGTTACCACCAGATAAATGCATTGTGTGCTCATTCATTTTGCTTTCGGTTTTGTTTCATTTTTGCGGATCGAAAATCTTTGCTTTTGAGTTGAAAAGTTTTGTGAGTTGAAAACTGCAGCTCAGTGGGCGGGATCTTATAAAACATCTTATTCTATTGGTCATCTTGATTGAGGTCACAGGTTGGCCACGCCCATAACATTTTCGTGCGATTGGAATTGCCTTCCGTGACAGGAGCGAGCTAATGGGGAGCAGCAGGTCTTCTTTAAGGTAAGTTAACTGAAACTGTATTATAACTTGTGTATTACCATCCACATTTCCCATCTGATTATGTTACGACTGCTAGTTTTAAACTCTAGTCAGTGAAATTTTTTAATTTTCTCTATTAACTAACATTATGCTGTGGGCCATCAGTACTGTACAGCTGTAAAGGGCAACGCAAGGCCAGTGTATTTTGAAAATTATACATTGATGTACTGTTAAAGTCAGGCTTTTTGTCTGTAGATGATGGCCAGGTGTACAGTAGGTCTGCAAACAGACTGGGAAACATTATCGGCAGCCCGTTGCTCTTAGTTTCCACTCAAGAGCTACTGTCTCTTTGAACTGGAGCGTCATATTCATTCTCCACTGTTAGAAAATGTAGTAACTCAGTGTATGTGTATTTCATTACAAATTACAAATATTTATTTAGTATATTTCGTTAGGCATATGAATGTTAGTTCATACATTAGTTGAATTAATAATGAACTGCATATCTGTTAAGCAATACTTAATCTTTGTTAATGTTAACTAAACATATTATTGCATTAGTTAAAAAAATTTGATGAACGAGTTTGTTTAGCATAAACTGTTAAAATTAACTTAGTCATGTTCTGTTGTATCTCCTTACATTAACAACTTGATGTAATTAGCCAATGATGTTAGCCAATAATGTATTTGTTCACTGACTAGATAACATAACTAAATAAACAACATTTATTCAGAAGACTTTACGATTAATAAACTGTGACGAATTAAAGCGCAGTTAATAGTGAAATCGGCTAATCGTTGCATCCCTATTAACGATATCAGTGCATTGTACAAATAGCCTTTAATTTCTACAAACATGTTTTCGGCTGTCCGCACCATTCGCTTATGATGACTCGCGCTCTGCAGCCTTTAACTGCAGCTCGTGCTTTTATTGAACAGAGACGCACGTCACTTCATAACTTTAGCAGCCGTTTGTCGACTGAACTAAATTTATTTTTGATTTCTTGGTCACACTGTTTGGAGGGCCGGAACAAAATGCCTCGGGGGCCGGATTCGGCCCACGGGCCGCCAATTGAATAGCCCTATTCTAGAGTTTCCCTTGACTAAACTGCCTAAAGCTCATCTCTGCATTGTAGATAGAAAAATGTTCAGAAACTTCTTCGAAATCCCTAGTTATTGTTTTGGAAACTAGTCACTTAACACTGAATGGCTAAACAAGACAGAAGTCTATCTGAAATTCCACCTAACTAAACATTCTTGAGTCCTTTCTGTTGACTGAATGTTGCAGGACAACTTGTCAAAGGTATAGCTCACCCAGAAATTAAAATGTAATCCTTTATGAGTTTCTTTCTTCTATTGAAAGTTAAAAAACAGTAACCCCCGACTTCAACTGTATGAAAAACAAATACTATCAGTCATTGTTGCTTTCAGCATTCCTCAAAATATCTTTGTGTTTGACAGAAGAACGAAACTCATAAAGATCTGAAACAAGACATGGCTGAGTAAATTTAAATCGGGAGCTCTGTTCACGGTTAAAGATTAAAAACTAGAAGCATTTAAAATCTCCACTGAAAACACTTGCAAACTTGGGGAGATGCACTTTATCGTGATTTAGAAACATAGTGTAGTCATTTGTTGAAAGTTAACTTTTTTATTTAAATATTAATCGTTTGTGTTTTGTTCTTCAATTTGTTGGTTGTGAATGTCATAAAGGCAAAAAAATGGGATGACAGTACGTCAGAAGAAATGAAGGCATTTTTGCTGAAACATGCTTGTTTTTGGAACAAATTTCATTTGATATGATTTAGATCCTAATTTTTGTGTGGTTTTTGTTGATCATTTATTTACAAAATAAACAAGAATAAATTAATTTCCATAAACAAACTAGACCAACTTGAGTACTGCTTTTAACACACAACCCATTATATCTCCACATTACATCAAAGTCTTACATGACGTACATATATCAGATCCTATTATCCATGATATGTTCTGGAAAAAGCTCTGAAGCTGTGGAACATCTCCAGACACCTTATAGGCCTTAGGCTCTCAGTCTGAATGTACAGTAAGGGGCTCGCTGAAGTTCCTCTGTTTAGTTCCGCATAACAGAGAGAGAGAGAGAAAACAGACACGTGTGGAGGGCTTGATGGGCCGACAAGATAGATAGATGTAAGATGAAGGAATGTGAAGGCTTTCCTGAGTTGGCTGGTTGTGTTTCCTCCCTCAAAGTCTGATCTATTATTTAGCGACCTGCATAACTCGGAGCAGGTGGAGGAGTGGGGGACATGGGAGGAATGTTGCAATGTGTTTCTGTGGAGACGAGCCGCACCATGCTGATACTTACTGAGGGGGGAGGTGGAGAATCCGGCGACGGAGCTGGACATGAAGAAGTCTGCGATCTGCCGCAGAGCGAGCAGTCCTGTAGGGTTATTCCCCTTGTTCATCTGCTCCTGGATCATTCCCTCCAGCTCATCCTTAAACGCCTGAAAGAGAATGTGAGATTAGAGGTGAGTAATGAGAGCTGTAATCCCTGCACGTTTAAACCTTCACGTAGGCTGGTTTTTCCACTTGTATCTTGACAACTAGTTAAGTCAATTAACCCAGAGACCTACTCTACTGTCCTCCACTTAGAGTATGTGACCAAATAGAGGATGTTTTCTACAGACAAACACAAGTCAGTGTTTAGGATATTTACAGGTTGTTAACATAACATTGCATTTTTATTGTCACACATGGCAAAAATTAATATTAGTATTGTCATCTTTAAAAATCTTGTAAATGGTTAAATATAAAATTATTTTCCCATGGACCTCTAGTTATATGTTTTATTGTTGTTATTTTTTATTTATTTATTATTATTTTTTTTACAGTTTTGAGACAAACCAAAAAACTATCCTATGATGTGACAGTCTTAAGCATATTTCAATAAATTACATTACATTATAAAATCATACATAAATACCTCAGAAATATATTTACAAGTGGCTATTGTAATAAATGGGATTATTTGTCACCCATATAGCCCTATAACCACGGGCGTAAATCCCGGAGTGAACCCCCCGTGTGATTATTTTTATGATAGTTTGACATTCTTTATTTAAAGCACTTTGAATTACCATTGTGTATGAAATGTGCTACAGCACAAATAAAAGAATAAGTGCTTATGAAAATACTAATGTCACAATATCAATCACAGGCAAAGGAGAAATAAGTGATTGAGGAACAGGCAGAGAAGGTCAGTCAGATGTACAGTGTCAGGTAAGGGTGTTGTGCTTTTATTGAAGGGATAATGACAAATGTTTTGGGGTAAACAATTTTTTTTTATGTTTTCGAGGTTGTGGCTGTTTAGCAGTTTTCACAGGCTCACTGATTTACAATATGATCGGTCATTTTAATGTAAACAAGTTAGTTTTATGAGTATGTAAAATGTCTTTCCCTGCATTTATTCTGCTTCAGGAGTCAGTCAGTTGACTGTAAACAGCACAACAAACAATGGAATAAATAGTTTTGAAGAAAAATTTGCTTTGTCGTTGAACCTGAGAAAATAATCATAATGACGTAGTCTCCATGCTATAATATTAATGATGAAACTGCATTTTTTAACCGCGTGAACATATCTTTATTAGTACAATTCGGCTGCATTATTTGTGTCCCCTTCAAAAAAATGTTTGAAAGAAATTTTATATTTATTGTCCCCCCCTACTGTTAAATCAGATTTACGCCCCTGCCTATAACCACTGAAAATCATGTCCTCTAGTATGACATCACATGCTAAGTTCAAAGAAGCCTTATTATCAGGGCTCGAAATTAACTTGTTTACTTGGTAGCGCCGGTGCTCCCAACTTCAAATATTTAGGAGCACCAAAAAATTTTTTAGGAGCACCAGAAAAAATTTAGGAGCACCCACCAAAAATGAATGAGCACCGCTGCAAATTGTTTTTTAAGGGATTTATTGTATTTTAAAACAACATCAATAGGACTGACAAAAACCAGAAACAACTATCTAACTAATGCTGCGAAGACTTTGATATTTGTGTGCAATAATTCCAAAATGAATGTCTAATAATTAGGCCATAGAATATTAATGATGATGAAAATGACAATAACAGTAACAATGAATTACATTTCTCATTATGATACTGCCTTGAATGTGCATGAATGTAGGTTATCTGCTATAAAAAGTCTGTTACTTTATGAAAAATAATTGTTTAGTTTGCATCAACAAAAATGAAGCATTGCAGTAAGAAATATTTATTTTGTACTGCTGTTTTTGTATGCATGTCAATTTAATAAATAATATTTCTGCTACAAAACAAACAAAAGATTATAATAAATCATTCAATTCAATGATGAAAGCTGGCAAGCAGTCATCAGTAAATAAATAAAAAAATAATATACACCTCAAAAAAGAATAGACAAAAGAAAGTAAGTAAAGTCTCACTTCTATCACTCTTTAAAAGTTTTGGTTTCAGTTTGTTTCAATTTAAAGGTTCAGTCTGAGCTGATTTTCATTTTTCAGTGTTAGTGGAAAGCAGGCGAGTCAGCCGACCCAATTTATGAGCAGGCATAGCAGGATTCTTGCGCTAACCACCGGCGCAATACCGCTCTTTGTTATGAGCCGCAGTTTCAGTGTAAACTTAGTAAAGGCGAGCTCCGTTGGCGATGATATGTACAGTATTAGATTTGACTTTTAGCGGACATTTGCGCTGAACACGCAGTGAACGCGACGCATCGAGATTCGGGCACCTTCTCCAAGAAGCGCGTACTCGATTGATCTCAGCTGGCGGATCATTATTCACCACGTGATGTGTCATGATCGCTTTCATCTGCGCCTCAACTTTAGGTGGGGTTTGCAAACCTGTGTGCTTTAAGTTTTTACTCTTCAGCCGTTTGCATTTCCCGTGGTCATAAAAGCTCCTTCCCTGTCATCTGACAGCGGAATACCGTGAGTGATTGACAGCTAATATGAACCAATATAGCGGCAGGGAAGAGCGATTCAGCACGTTTTTAGAAAAAATCAAAACAGGTCGCACTACAACCATTATCTGCAGTCGCACTAATGCTCCCATATATATTATGAGGTCGCATAGATTAATTTTCGGGCGCATATGCGACCAAAATGGTCGCAATTTCGAGCCCTGCTTATTATGCATTAAAAAAGGTAATCTTTTAATTTTGGGGATCTCCAACAATAGGCTGATACTCATACAAGGTTCTTCATGGTCTTATAATATGCATTCATTTTTATCTAATTATCCCAACGACTCCCATATGATTTGTTCCCAAACCCCCTTCTTAGCACAATGCTAATCTGTTGACTGGTTGACTGTGTTCAGCACGAGACAGAGAGAAACACGCACAATGGCTCATAATCATTGTTGAAGTAGTCAGAGCCCAATGCAGGAGCGCATTAAAGCATCGCAGTTTCACACCAGTCAAATTGCTTTATTGCTAAAAGTAAAAACAATGACACACATTCAGTTTTAATCCACACAGTGGCAAAAGCTGAGCTATTTTGAAACTTGCTGTGCCTGTGTAACAGCTGACAGTGGCCACAGCAATGACAAACAGCAGAGGATCGCAAGCTCACAAACACATTTAAATTGGTAGACAAAGCGGCACATGCCGAGTTTTCAGCATGGCTTGAGATCCCATATGTGAATATAAAGAATTAACCAGTACAAGCCGCATGGAGCGATTACAAGTAACAAAACACAATTAAATACATATTTTGCAAGCTAGAGAAAACAACGAGTAACCATGTTAATTGCACTTATTTATGCTGTGTTTACACCAGATGCAGAACGCATGACTAATTACCTGGATGATGGAAGCATTTAGCGGTGCTTCTGACTGAGACGAGGCCCGTTTGATGAACTGTTGTCGATGTAGGCAGGAGGATTTTCCCCCGGGACACCAACAACAGGCATAAATACACCCCTAGAAGAGCAAGCTTCTGATTGGTTAATGTGGCGCGAATTTCTGCTAAAGTTCAGATTTTTAAATTAGAGTGATACGCGCGCCAAACACTCAACTTGCGACGCACTATTCGTGCATATCGCGTCATCCGCGCCACGCCATTTGTGCGTATCGGGCCACATATATCTATTTCCGTCTTTGCATTGACTTAACATGTAAATCACTCACGCTTGACGCTTCTTCCACGTCTGGTGTGAACCCTGCATTACACTTGTTAAATGGAGGAAGAAACTGGTCCATGAACTGTGTACTGATAAAATTCCTGTCAAGCTCTGATAAAGTCCCATACATCAATAGTCTTTTCTGATCCTTCCTTTAACAAACGGCTGACAGATCTGTTGCAGTCTGTTGCAGGGTAGATTTTTGCAGTAATCACCAAAACATTCACTTATTAATAGGGATGTAACGGTATCAGAATTTCACGGTACGGTAATACCTCGGTATGAATGTCACGGTACGGTATTTATTGAATCATTTACAGGAAAAAAAAAAAACTTTTGAAAATACTCCAAAAAAGTGCCAAAAGTGTCAATGACATACAAATTAGCCATCTATCTGTTAGCTTTGAAACAGGAACTTCAATTTTAATAACAAAAAATTATTAAACCATGTAAAAAAATAAAGTTTCAATTTAGTATTGTTAAAAACTCATCACATTTAACATTTAATCACTCACTTAGATAGAGATGGGTTTAAAGGAAAATTATCATATAACTATAATCTGGTAAAAGCTGGTATCTCTGGGTATTTACAATGTCCCCTGCAACAGAAAAAACCCCTCTCATTTGGGACTGAGGATTCTGGGACAAGAGAGATATGACTTGGCCCATGTTGACAGCAGTGGGGTAACGTTGTGCATTGTCTTTCTCCCACTTGAGAGGACAAACCATGAGTGAGATAGAGATCTCTTTGCGGTACAAGTCAATGTCTGCATCAATCTGAACAGTGTGCTGTGTTTCTGCAGTCCCCATGACTGTTATTAGTCGTATTCCCCAACTTGCAGGCACGTGCACACATAGGGCTCAACCTGTGCAGTGCACATGCCCTTTTTAGTCTTGGATAGAAAATGCCCTTCCAAAACGATCAAAAGTGCCCCCGCGACGCGACACAACCTCCGTCCAGTCCAACCCTTCAGTAGGCGCGCGATAACACCTCTCTTGAGTATGCGCGCTCAACCCCCCCTCGGCGCTTTACAATACGCGCGCCACAACACAGCTGATCAGAACGCGCGCGACAGCACCGCTATTCAGCAAGCGCGCGGCGACAACACCCGCTTTAGGTTCGATCATTTCCATCTTTTTTTCATCTCCGCTACTAGCAGCACACTCCATTTCCGCATTACTGGATCTGTAGCGACAACAGACCGCAAAGGATTATGGCCACGCCGGGGCTGATGGGAAATGAAGTTTCAGCTACCTCCCGTTCGCTTCATTCGCCTGAGCAAATTTTCTCAGAAGACCTATAGTTTTACCGAGTCATGCGACTTCGGTAATATCGAAAAAAA